AGATTTCATGAAATTAATCAATTACAAATATGATCCTAACAACCATTACCTTGTTAAGGGCCTGATATTTGACACAAAGTCTCAAGGAGCCATCCTTCTTCCTTTGAAACAAGATAGGGACTCCATATGGAGCATTTGAAGATCTAATGAATCTTACCTTCAATAGATCACCAAGCTATCTTGTTAATTCCAACAACTTTGATGGAGACATATGATAAGATGGCTTGGGGGGGGGGGGGGGGGGAGTTTGCCCCTGGAATCAACTCAATGGTATGGTCAATCTCCCGTCTTTGGTGACAATTTGTTGGGTGCCACATTCTTGAATTATGCAAGCAACAACTGCATTGGTTCAGGGACTTGAAAGGCTTTGGGCTCCTCATCCATAATCAACACAACCAAGTATGATGTCTCTCCCTTTCACATGCCATTTTTAACTGGCAAAGTAGACAACATTTCCCCTAGATACTTGGCTTTGATGAGGGGTGCAAAGTAGAGATTGGGCATGTCCATCATGAACAATCCATGCAAGTATGGCATCATAGAAAATTTTGCCTCTGTAAATAATTCTAATCTAAGGATCACTTGCAAATCATCCAGAGAGACTGTCAAAAAATCACATTATCCTTGCCAATCACCAACTTTCAATGGGAAATCCCTCGCAACACCGCCTACTAGTTTTGCTTTTAAATTAATAGCCTTGATTTGGCTAGAATCCTTTGTCAATGTCAAACTAAGACACTACACCTCCTGACCAGAAATAAAATTATGAGTTACATTTGTATCAACTAGCACCTCGATGGAAATATTGTTCACCTGAATCTTCATGAACATCTGTCCCATTTTGGTCATGGGCTCTACCTTATGAATTGCATTAAGGAGCTACAAAAGACTGACTCATGTTGGATCTTTTGCATTTTCAACTTCCTTGGTCATTAGGGCACTGAGTTTCTGCTTCTTGGGGTAGTTTCTATCTCGATGGAGGCCATTATAGATAAAACAACCCAAATCAACACCTCCTTTTGACGTAGAGGGCTAATCATTTTGTTTCTCTATGGTGCTGGACATGTTGACCTTCTTTTTCTTTTGATCCTTCTTTTAAAACTTGGCCTTCCCTTTAGTCTCCTTGTCGAAAAGGTTGGCTTACATTTGGTAATCCACCAAAGCATCTATTGTAGCTATTACAGTGTGTATATCCTTTAACTCTTACCGATGTAGTTCTTCTTGGTCCCAAGTTTGGAGACCAGACATGAAGTTGAACAACTTGTATTATTTTGATATGTTTTTGTTGTCAAGCATGAGGGACGAGAATTGCTTCACATATTCTCAAAACTATGCTTTTATGATAGAGTTTGCACAAAGCATCATGGGTTTGCCTATACATGTTTGTGAGATCCATTTCTTAGCATTTGGGGTACAAAATGCTTTGAAATAGTGCCCTACTCCCACAAGAAATTCTCGGGTTCTTTTTCATTGTGTTGCTAGAGAATGGTTGAGGGTTAGGGACTTTGACTTTCTGTGTGCATTCACTGCCATAACTCAAAGTGGGATTCTACAGTGCCTTCTTCGACAATAATACATCTGTCTTAAGGCCATGAATTTTCTACTCCAAACCATTGATCAATGAAGAAATTGTGGCAAGAACATCAATTATCTTGGTTTTTTCCTCACTGAAATGGTCAGCTTCAAATTTTTGGAGTTATTCTTCGGGCATTCGTATTTCTTCGAACCGCGAGCTGCACAATGAGGGCCGTAATATCACTAGATTGTGGGAGACCAACAAAGTCCTCTGAATGAGTTACCTTTTCCCTCAGATCGACATTGGTTCCACTAGCTGTAGATCAGTCTTTCCCACAAAACCACCCTCTGATACCAAATTGTCATGAGTAACTCTTTATTTGCAACTTTTTTTTGAAGCAGGCTACTCGTGAAGGTGCTACCTCAATATTCAGCCACTGAAACTCGTAAAGGAGTGCACACACACACACACACACATGCAAGCAACCCACATTGTAGAGGGAAAACACTCCTCAACCTTATATTATTGCTCAAACAATACAAGGAACATACAAATCTAACCATGGCCTCTCTTTGCTTGAAGATTGCCCTAACATTCCCTATTTATACCAGGAATATGAAAATTTACACCCCAGACTATCTAGGGTTTACTAGCCATAACCAATTAGTTGCATAGGCATAACAGTTTCCACCAATAACTTTCATGCTAGGTTGAATCTCACTTTGACAAGTGGCTAACAGTTCCTCCAATTCAACACATAACTTGGTAATCGCCCACAACTACTCACCCATGACCAGGTTATGCCTGATAAAAGCCCTTAAATGCGTCCTATGATCAAGCCATGCACAACAACCGCCCTTAATTGTCTGATTCCATATATTGAGCAGAATTGTTTGAATCACATGGTTCCAAATTCGCAATCAAGCCTTGCCCACGAAGCAATCAAGCATGTTAAGCCAAGCACAAGCCATGCCATGTGAAAGTCATGCACCAACATTACCTCAATTGTGCCAACTACGTGCAACCATACTCACGCGCGTGGCCTTTCGTAGCTACAGGTCTCATAACTTTTTCAATTCCACCATTATCTCATGTTCCCTTGTCTGCCTTGCCTCACATGTGTCAAGGACTTGCTGCATGCCTTGCCCTGTGGTGCCACGACTTGGGGGCACAAGGCTTTTTAGGCCCTTGGTGCCACTCAACTATCATCACCTCTTATACTCTTGGAAGGTTTTCCAAAGTGACATGAATGAACATCAGCTAAACCGAGAAAGCATAATAAACTAGTGCTTGAGAATAGTGCTTGGAGCTTTTGTCAAACACCTTAGCAATTTCACATTGTTTCAATGTCATGGAGTGCCTTGGTACAAGGTGCCATCAAGATACGTCCATTTTTGCCTAAGTCAATTAGGGTCTGACAATTTGACTATATTGGACCATATCATCCTTATTGTGCAATCAAGAAGGGGATAAAAATGCATGGTACAATGGTGGTATAAATGAGTAGGATATGAAAAAATCATATGGATTGAATCTTATAACTATTTGTTTGGGTTTGTTGGGCCCAGCCAAATGATTATATGTCCAAATGCTATAGTTTTAATAAAATCATTTAGAAGCCCATAATGAATACCCGTGTTAAGTGGTATTCGTAAAATTACTATTATGCCTTTTTGAAACAAATGTTGCATTAGAAGGGCAATGAGGACAAGTATAATCTTGAGATTTGTATTTTTTGTGCGTCCAAATGTAATACAACAACTAAAATATGGTATAGAATGGAAGTATGTCATTAAACAAAGCCATCCTAATTTTATTAATTCAAAACAAGAATGTAAAGGGTTGGTCATGGTCTGTGGCCTTACTACTTGAGTCAAATACCACCGAATGCATGATTTTAATTAAGGCCTTATTGTGGGAGCTTCATTGCATATCTTGTTTTGAATTAGTAAAATTATTTATCTTCAAAAAAAAAAAAAAATAAGGCCTTCTATATGGGTTTGTTAAAGTAGTAGCATTTGGGCAGTACAAATTTAAAATTGATTTAACCAGGCGAAAGCTCTAAATGTGACTCTAGTAGTGTTTGGTGTAGTAGTATATATAATATTATATAGTTAAAAAAAATACTATATTATGCTTATTTTCAAAAGTCATATTTCTTGCTTTTAAAATTTTAAATTATTCTTCTAATTTTTTTGCATGATTTGGTCATCTAATTTTTAAATAATCATGTGCACTTCTAGATATGTTTTAGTTATCACTAAATAAATTTGTCAAGTGTTCTTTTTGAAGTTCAAATCAATTATTTACTTGTCTTTTTTTCTTATAATTTTCAGATTCTTGGTATCAAGCAGGTATACTTAAGATTAAAAAAAATAATTTGTCAATTAAAAATATTTTATAAGAATTGATTTGCTGAGATCAAATTAAGTTGAAACATAAAGCTTATAAACAATGCAAATGTGACACTACTATAATTGATTTTTATTTTATTTTGGTGGGAATCTAACAATATCATAGTTTGTAATCAATGCAAACATAAAGTTTATATCCTCTTTTGATCTTTTGTTTAAGAAAATTAAGTCTAAAAATTGAATCGATGGTAAGAACCAGAATCCTATCTTCATCATTATACATACAACTTAATTGATAAAATCCCGAAATGAAAATATTGGAGGGACGAACAGTGCAGCTAGATGATCAGAATATGAGAGAAAAAGGAGCAGCAGTTAACACCCATTTAAATATTCTAAAATACACAAATTTTATTTTATAATAGCATTTATTTTGGTAAGAAACAAAAATCATCTTGTCAAACTCCAAAAAGTCAAAAATTGTTATGACATGAGAGAGAGAGAGAGAGAGCATGTCTTTTGTAACAAAAAGAAAATAACCAATTCCACGGACTTTGCGTTAACCAGAGGCATTGATCAACTTTCAATGAGGCCTAGAAAGGTAAGTTGGGCCTAAGTTATATGGATCAAAAAAATATTTTTGGGGCCCTTAAATGTTGGGGGCCCTAGGCAGCCACCTTAGTGGCCTAGCCCTAGGGCCGACCCTGTCTATATATTATATAGCCCCTTAGACCACCATTAGACCTTCATTCGCCAAGGGTAAACCATATGGGGGTGTTTGTTTGGGTGAATAAAGTGGGATAGGACATGTTAGATTGGGTAAAAATATTCGGGGGTCCACAAACCCAGCTTTGGATCTCATTTAATGAATGGGATAAACGCTGAGCTCAATTCTCTGGCCCGTAGTCTTTTAAGCCCCTTATCCCCTCTAACCCAGATAAATGAATCTCACCTAAACTTTGAGATAAGTAAGCCCATTGACAGGATTGGGCTAGCAATTACATTAATGCCCTTGTACAATAAAGTTTCTCTCTCTTTGTATGTGTATATATATCTCTCTATCTCAGTTGTGTCTATATAAATATATGTATATTTTTTTCCTAATCAAAAAAAAAAAAAAAACCAAGCACCACCAGCACTCCACTCCTTTTCTATCTGCCTTTCCATTGCAACACCACCGCCACCGCCACAACCACCGCCATTGCCACCGCGAATGGCACCGCAAGCATCACTTGCGCCCTGTAGAACAGACCACTCTAGGGTTTTTATCCTCTCTTCCCCTTTTTCACTGGTCCCCTGCTTCCAACGGCGCCAAATCCTCCCCATTGGCAAGGTAATGTTCTCTCTCTCTCTATCTTGACCTCTTGTCTCTGTCTCTGTCTATATATATATATATATATATCAGTTGAGATATGTTTGGGGCATGTCGATAATTAGAGAGAGAGAGAGAGAGAGAGAGGAGAGAGAAAGACAGAGATTTAGAAGTTAGTGCCAATACCCAATTTAAAGCTAATCCTTCATCATGAACTTGATTGGAGCTTTCATTACTTGTGGTTGATCGTCCATTTAGCTTTATTGAAGCTTCTTCAGCTATGCATCAGAGAGCGAGAGAGGGAGAACTCAAGCTTGATTGCCCATGGAGGTCCCGAAAAATCATGTTGGATTAACTGTGTTAATTTTTGTCCATGGAGATCGAATGTCTGTTGGTTAGCAAGAGAGAGATTTGGTGGGTCTGACTCACGGATTGAATAAAGAGAAAAGGGAAAGTGGAAAAAAAAGGAAAATCCTTATTTTTGGTTTAGGAGAAGACTTATGATTAGTTGTTTTTTTTTTTCTAACTGGACTTATGTTTGGTTTTTTTTTTTTTAAACTGCACTTATATTTGGTTTCATAAATTATTATACAATACCAAAAAAAAATCTCTTATGAATCAAAATATAATGAGTGACAAACCTTAAGAACTATAGATGCAATTTATACTATATTTTAAAATATTTATAATTTTTTTATTTTTTTATCATATGATCGATTTGATTAGTTCACTCAACAGTTGAATCAATAAACTATTAACCAGGTCTTATAGTAAAAAAAAAAAAAAAATATAATGAGTAAGATATTCTTATATACATTGGACAATCTATGACGTTTTATGTTGGACAATATTATTGGATTAGCTTCACATCATTCTACTCCAAACTTAATATAAGATTGAATTACATTTATTTGTAAAAGGGTGTAATGGTCATTTTAATATTTTTTATCTTCACAGGGGCCCTCACAAAAAATGGTAACCATCCAAAAATAGAATAGGATAATACTTTATATTAGGATTGATTCAAACCAAACTACTTTATATTGACTTGACTTGAATTCGGATTCAAATTCAATTCAAGCCAATCCAACCATAACGATCCAAACACCCCTATGTGTATACCCATTGACACAACAATTCCTTGTGGAAAAAAATGCAATGATTGCGTCATTTAACAGCTGCTGTGACTTTTTCTGACATTTGAGTGATTTGCATCCTGGTATGGATTTATACACACGGCAGGTTCAGTTTTTTCAAATAATTTTTGAATCCAATCTTAGTATTTTAAGGTTTCAGGTCCTCAGTATACTTTTTTTTAAAAAAAAAAATTAGTTGGATTTGCTAATTTGTACAGATTGAAAAAGAGAATTAGAATATCTTCAAATCTTAGTGAAATTGGAAAGGGGCAACCCGGTGATTGTCTATTTTTTCGGGTGGTTAGTAATGTAGCGCAATCATAATGCAAAGGACAATACTGTGTTGCATAAATTGTTACTCAAATCTTGTATTCTAAGTAATGTGTTAAAATCTCAAGCATTGAATATTTGATAGAGTTAGTGGACCCTACTAATTCAACCACCTGCATTGATTTGAGATATAAAATTTGGATAAACATTTGTGTATCATAGCATTGCTCAAAAACTTGCGACAGCTTTAGAATTGATCATCCAAGTATAGGTTGTGTGAAGTAATATAATACTTAGAAGTCTGAGTCGAACCACAGGAAATTTGAAAAAACATAAAACGTAAGGAAAAATAATAAAAATTGCTTTAAAAATTATTTGGAGAAATTTGTTTGTTCAAAAGAACAAAAGTTGTTTGATTAAAAGCAATGATTGAAATACTAAAACATCGAAGATACCCTTTCAAATTCACACGACAATTATTAATAATCCAGTTTTTGAACTCAATTGAGAATTAGTTGAGGAGTGATCCCAATTAGAATATTTAGCAGTGATAATATGAAAACATTAATTAATGAATTATCTGAATAAATATAAGAATTTACTTGTATGTCACAATCATTTACCGTGCCCAGGGTCTACGATAGATCAAGCTTTTCAACAGAAAAATCTTATTTAATTACAAATAAAAAATCGACTATCTTATGAGTAATTATAATTAATTAATCAAAACATGGAATAACCAGTTATTTGACTCGCAGGAAATCTCAAGCATTTGATGTACGTGACACAACGAATTAAGAAATTATGCAGAACAAAAACTTTACTGAAAGACAAGAATTAAATTCAAAGAATAAATCATGCATTAAAAATAACATTGTATCAATAATAATACCGTACTTCATTGAAAATATCTCCCTTAACCTTAGTTGGATTTTTAGCAAGTTATAGAACTAGAACAAAAACTAGAAAAGAAAATATGAGAAGAGAATAATAATAGTCCTCAACAGGTGAGAGCCCTTATTTATACTAAAATAAAATCTAGGTGTAAGTAAGAGATCTAGGGTTGATTTGAGAAGAATTCTTTTACAAAAAAGAAGTCTTTTAAAGTCAAATCTCGTGCATAAAATCTTACGGACGCGGGTACAAAATTTTCTTAGATTTCGAGCTAGTTTTTCACAAAGTTTTCATTAAATACACTTTTTGTATCCCTTGATATGTTCTTCCCAAGCCCGTAAAAATCAAGTTAATCGCATATCGGGATTAAAAGTTATGACCAAAATACTAAAGAGGTGTCAAAACTTTATCTTTTAGAATACTTTTCTAATCCAACTTTAAATGAGTTTTCTTCTAACTTGGACTTTCATAAGGATTAAATTATTACCTTATCTTTTAATCTTCCTATCTTAATCTTGACTCTTCAATCTTATCAATTGTGACTCTTTCTCTAGTGATTGTTTCACTTGTCTTATTCATTATTATTTTAAATCAACCAATTTACTTGCAAAATAAACCAAACAAAAAAAATCAAACTAGAAAATTAGGAAATTTAACACATTTAATCACAAATAATATGTAATTAATCAATCATTAAATATAATAAAATTACATTTGTTATGGTTAATCACACCTCCTAACTGAATATTACTAGTCCGTAGTAATACATGGACCCTAGAATCTAAAAACTAAAAACAAAATAACCTAATAAAATAAAACACAAATCTACTTTCGTAAGAACTCACAACTGCATTTAACATATGCAATAAGCCTTTAAACATCTAGATTCTCCCTAGTGGATGAGAATAGTATCATGAGGGTTTACAAAGATGATACCCACAAACATCACCCTATTATCAAATATCCGAATAATAATTTTATAACTCAAATTGCTACTACAATATAAAAATTTTAAGCTGTAAGTTTTTTTTATAAGCACATGCAAAACAAAATATATAACTTTACGTTATATAAATGTATGTACTTATCATGTTTCTATATAAAATCATGTGTAGTATGAATTAACTTTACTAGGTCAGTAATTTATTTGGTAATCATTTTTACAACTATCAACTATTCGTCTTGATGCCAAATTTCACTAAATAATACTCTCATAAAAAAATTCTCTCAGATCATAGTGACTATCCCAAATATCACATGTGAAAAGAATATATTTCAGTCAAAAAAAAAAAAATAATGCTCACATGTCTATTAAAATAATTGTAATCTAAAAGAAAAGGATTTGACACAGTCTTATGAAAGGAAATCAACACACAATAAATAAATAAACACCATTCTTTTCCTTATTTACACAAATTATGCATCCACTAATATACTCTGGAGATTAAATAGATCTTTATCTAAGGTTATAATGTGGCCTTAGGATTAGGGTTTTGAAATGAAGGGTATTTAGGAATTCAAAAGACTATCCCGAAAGAATATTTACATTACACAATTAAACTTCATTCCATAGCCTTTCAATCTTCATCATTTAGAAGTACAATTTACAACGCTTGCTCATATTTTTTTTCAAAACCATGCTTGCTATTTTTTAAATCTATTTTTTTATTGTTAGACATACTATCTTTTTTTTCAACTTTTTTTTTTTAACAAGACAACTGAATGTATATACTTTTTTTTTTTCAGCAAAACATCTAATGCAGATATTCAAAAGTATGCAAAACTTTTTTTTTCTTCTTTTGAATCATCTTTTTTCAGTCATCATATCCCAAATTATATAAACAATAAAAGCTCAATCTCGGGATAACTAAGGGTAAAAGATATTATATTTTTTTCATTGACTTGGTTATTATATGTTTGGTGTAAGAAATAAAATTTTGTTTCAAAGGCTCAATCACAACTTCTAGAGATAATAATATTCAAAGAATAAGGCTCAGGTTCAAATAATATTGAAGATGACCTAAAATCATATCTCAAGAGTTCTTGATAGCACACTACTGAATGCAAATAATTTAAAGTCAAGGAATCATTTACAATATTGGTGTTAACCAAAATAGCTTGCATTTGAATCTAGTTGCTGATCTTATTGTTGATAGTGTTCGTAAGGAGCTTTCAAAATGTGCTGTGGAAGTAGTGACTCATTTTTTGTACAAATTATGGGTTGTCAGTCTCTTATGACAGTTTATGGCTTGGTATCAATAAAGTTAGAAGTTTTTTATTTGGTGATCATTCATTATCTTACCACCAGCTAAGATGGTACATTCAGTGTGCCAACAATACGAATCTCGACAACCATATTAAGATTGATTGTGATGGTGATAGCAAGCATTTCAAGAGCTTGTTTGTTGCTTTCAAAACTTATATTCATGAATATAATTACTGTCGTCCCATGTTGTTTCTCGATGACACATTTTTTAAGGTGAGATTTAAAGGGGACATCTTATAAGCTAATATAAAGGATGGGAATCAAGATAAATAATTTTTTCCCCTACTGTTATTGTTGTGTATGTTTTAATGTTACTGTGCTTATTTTATGTCATAGTTCCTATTAGGTGATCAGTTTTTGTTTACTAATGTGATGCATGATTATTTCCTATTGCATTTGTCATTTTTGACTCGAAGAA